AAAAATAAATAAAATATCTAAATCACACAGTAAAATCCCAATTTTGATTTCTAAATTCATCAATAATGCATTGTAATAAATCTGCATAGTCAAAGAAATGAGAGTTTGGCAGAAATGAAAATTAAATCTTTTTGAAAACTTGCAACGTTTTTGAACTCCATAAAAAAAACCAATGATAAAACCACTGAATAGCAAAGTGGAATCACGATTTTCATTTTCTACTGATCAATAATTTGTTTTGATAAAGCCTTATTGTCAAAGAAATTGGAATTCAGTAGAAATCGAAACTAAATCTCTTTGATTGAGATGATACACAATTGACATTTTGGAACTTGAAAACACCCTGTAGAACTTTTGAAGACCAAAGTGCAGTTACTATTATTATATATATATATATTTTTACTTCATCAACAATTCATTTTAACACTTGCACACTGCACGTAACTGGTGATTAACAGATTGGACAAATCAAAATATTTCAAACTTTTTTCATTGCCAGTTGTAATATTTTCCACGTATTTTACAGATTTGAATAACTTGTGAAATGTATTGTTTTCGAACTCATGCTGAAGGGATAAGTGTTAATAAATAACTGAATGGTGAAGTCACATTTGTACCAATGGGCCACTGTACAGTAACTATCAATACCACAGACATGCATAGCCAAACAGAAGTCAAATGAAAACTAACAGACCACAAACAATAACATGCATTCTAAATAAATTTGTTAAAAGTGGATAACACCTCAGAGAAGAATGTGAATAATAATGTGAATAAACATAAACAAAGAATTCTTCAAAAAACAGCTTTTCAAAGAGTAATAATATTAGTTACTCAGTGTTACTCCAGTTGTCAACTGTAAAAACCGCTGCTAAAATCAATCAGTCCTTAACATGTTTTGATGAGGAGTCTTCAATTTCACAGTTACTCAACTATCAATTTGCCAAATTATATTCACTTTCTTAGCAATTAATTTATCAAGACACTGTGGCCACTACAGCGGAGTTTTTGCTCAGCATGTCAATAAAAATTCATTGGACAACAAAATGAAGTCTCTTGTTTGTTGTTTTGAAGTGGTTAAAAAAGACGTGATGTGTTAAGACCAATCGTGCACGGCAAAAATATTTGATGGATTACAATTTAAAATATACATACACATGTAGAACAAGAATGAATGAAATGATAAGTCATCTACATTCAGAAGTGTTCTCACTCTCCTGAAAA